ATTATCCATTTATTGTTCTCCTTTTAGAATCCATATTAAAGGGTTTGGATGTATGTTACAAGTTACAACAACATAGGGAATATTTTTTTCACTGGTTCATGTTCAGTGCTATGAAGCAAGGGCACCTAAAAAATATCTGTTGTATCTTTGTCAAACACCAATGCTTAATGAATACTTGTCGATTCATATAGGGTACTTAGAAATATATTGCACTCTTGTACATTCTATGTTTATTTATACTAAATATGTAACACGTATTTTATCTATATAAGACTTCAGGACATGGAAAATTTTGCATTTACTTGGATATAAGACCAAGGATTGGTAATGCCAATATTGGCATGTATTATCATGGTTGAAAATCTACCATGATGGAGGTGGCACACGGTATATGCAATGCTGAATATGAGTAGACCCTTTTTTTGGCCTATGGTGATCAATACAGCATAGAATTTTGCCAGTTCAAAATGGAATCTACATGCTCTATGAGACAATCTTTGTTCATGACTTTTGTATTATGTTTCATGTTTTTCTGTAAACTTTTGCCACTCGTACGAATGGTTGTTATAGTTCTTCTAAATTCATCATATGATCATTATTGATTGTCTAAATTATACAAACTAAAAATTCTAGGAACATATAAAAGAAATATACATTGCCGCTTGTTATTCTTGTATAATAATATGCATGTATTTGTTTTTGTCCTAATTTCATAATAGTTTCTGGGCCCATGTGTCCATATCCTTTCACGTCTGCTTATATGCTTTATTGGTTTTATTTTGTTTTCTATATTTAGTGCTTTAATAGATTAAGGGTACTTGAAATCAAGTCCTTAATTTGTGGGGATCGTATGGATTAAAGGTGAATTCTGATATTTGATTTAAATCTGACAGAAAGAGGCTGTAGGCCCTCATTATTGTTCTCTCTTTCTCTCCTCTTTCTTATTTGTTGTTCTTTTATGGCCCCTTAAAACGTCTTTTTTTTCTCTAATATATATGTTTGCTATCCTGTGGTTGAATCTACAGCTATAACTGAAAGACAAGACTGTTCTGGTTATATTCTCGTGTTTTAAAATCCGTAACAGGTGAAACCTCTTTTAAGTAGCGATTACAGCTGTCATAGGTAGAGTTAAATGTGGTGAATGAGATGGAAATTAAAGCAAGTTGTAGTAGATATAATGTTGTAGATTTTGTGCTTTTGAATTAAAGGATTCTTCCTTTTCCATCAAATAATTTTTTCTTAATTTGCACTCTCACTAATTATAACTTAAATGTGCCAAGGCTTATTATACATTTAAATGCCATTATGCTTAGCTATTTTTATCTTTGCTTATTCCAATACATCTGCATGGTAGCAATTTTTTTTTTTGTTGTTGTAGGGCCGGTGTTGTCAATGCCCTTTGAAGTGATCTGAACTCTGAAGGATGTCAAACATATGCACACCATAAATTTTTAAGTTTGCCTTGGTTTTACTTGACCAAGGCTGTTGATTGTTTCAGCTAATGTGGTTGCAAAGATTCTGGTATTAGGACACATCTCTGAAGCACACATGTAGTGTAATTTCTAGCTGTTGTGGTAGTTGTGTTTCATCCACCATCTCAACAGAATAGTTGATGCAAGTCACCTATCTTTTTGGTATACTAATCCAACTCAAACATCTAGAGGTCCAGGAATTTTGGATTCTATACCTATCAGATTTTTAAGACTACTATTTGCTATTTAATATATCAAGGCATCTGATGCCGTTTAGGTACTCTGAGATGTCTGAAGTGGAGGTCAAGATCGCCTGTCCTGTTTGTCGTGGGTGTTGTGATTGTAAGACATGTTCTCATATCGGAGCTAAAGATGGTGGATGTAAGGTTGGGCTCTTCTCTAATTTTTTTACATTCTCATGGGGGAAAATTTTATGAGCAGTTTTGGTTTTTTTTATCTTCAGGAACTTGCACATGATCACAAGAAGTTTAATGAAATCGAGCATGCTTATAACTTGATTTCTCACCTTCTCCCATTGCTGAAGCAGATCTATCAAAAGCAGTTAAATGAGCTGGAATTTGAGGTTCCAGACCAAGGTTAGTAAGGAATCAGTATCTGTGTTTCATCCTTCCTGAGTTGGCCACTTTTGATGTATTACTTCTTTCCTAGGGAGAAGATTTTCTGGCATTCAACTTCAAGTCAATCAGGCTCAGAACGAGCTTGTTAAATGGTATGTGTATATTCTGAAAGCATAGGTCGATAGATATTCCATTTCCATTTATATGTCACCGACAATATACATAGTAAATGAATACTGTTATTTTGGCCACAAATTTTTTTTAGGCTAAAGGCTGATTACCATCCAAAATCTTAGATGGACATTTCATTGGTTTTTGTCATTTTTCTTTTAGGATATTTTTTGTTAATATAGTTCGTGTTGCAATTAGATAAACATGCCTAAAATTTTGCTGGGGGATGGACTTAAATTGTGGTCAAATTACACCTGAATGTGTCTCATGCAGTCTCTGCTTTTTTTTGGTACCAGCAATTGCTGCAGGACTTCACTTGTTGATTTTCACAGAAGCTGCTCAAAATGTTCTTATAGACTTTGCTTAAGTTGTTGTAGAAAGATACCGAAAGGAAGCTTTCCTCAGACGACTTCAACTGATGCCTTCAAGTATGGTGAGAGTAATAAAGCACATAAGCGTGTTGCTAAGGAACTTAATGGGATGAAGCGGATACTCTCCACTGGTATGCGACCTGACAACTCATATTTATCCATGGTACCTGAAAGCAAAGAGAACAGTGAGAGCAGCATTTTGTGCCCACCCAAGGAGTTTGGTGGATGTGGTGATGGTCTTCTAAATCTAGTTTTCACCGTGCCATTTAATTGGTCTAATGATCTGGGTAGATCTGCAGAAGAAGTTGCTTTTAGTAACTTTGGTTCTCACAGTTTACATGCTTATCCTCATCGTACATCTTCAGTCCCTGAAAACCAGAAGATTGGGCAATTCAGTATAAGTTTGCAAGAAGCCATGGATAGGTAAGAGTTTTTATGATGATTATGGGTTTCTGTCCAATCTGTACGGAGGAATGCCTCAAGCATTTCTATGAGAACAAAAAAAAAAATTTCTTAGTTATCCTATTTATTGAATGTATTTAAGATGATCGAGAGACCAACTTATAATGGTTTCCTAGTATAATTTAGTTCCAGTGATGCTACGAAGCTGCAAACCTCGGATTGGCATTAGATAAGTTATCGAGTCTTGAGGTCCTTGTAATAGATGAGCATTTTAAAGTAATTTTACCTAACCTCTTCTTTTAGCCTTTTGAGCAAAATGTAGCTTATCTGGATTGGGTAGTCAAACATCATATAGATATATGATTTCTTAATTTAGCTTCATTTGCCATGACAGTTGCCATTTTGGTATTCCTCATGCATTCATCTTGACTACCTGAATTTTCAATTTCATATATCCATATTTAGTTTCATTGTAGGGACATTTTTTCTTTAGGTAAGTAGTATGCGTATGCTATTACTGTGTTCCCCATCCAGACTTTTCTTTCATTCAGGAAAAATATAGTTCGAGAACTGTTTTATTTATGCCCAACACTTACGTCGACCCAGAATCAACATATATGAGGTATGTTATCGCCATTGATGATCTCTAATACTACAAGTGTAACTCATCATTTTGTTTATTTTTTAATAACGCAAACAAGTTTAAAAGTTTTAACTAGAAATCGACAGGGACATGCAAATATGTTCTTGGAGATACTGAAGTATATATATTGCTCTACGTTAGCTCCAGTTTTTGAGGAGTTGGAACAAATGTTCATTGTTGGCTTTTGTGTTTGGTGCTGACTTTAAACATATACTTTTGATAAAACCACTTGATCCTTTCTTTACATTGGTCTGTTTCAGACAGATTTAGGAAAGAAATTCTGGCTTTTTTGCATTGTTTGTGTATCATTAGCATCTGTTGCAAGCACAAGTCTTATGGTGCGAGTACTGTCTTTCTTCTGTATTCTAAAAGCTTGAGTATTCTTTAGACATCCTTATGCTCATTAGACATTCATTGGGTGCCATTTTTAATCCATTTCATGTTAACTGCATGGTCATTAGCATCTGTTGCAAGCACAAATCTTCTGTATTCTAAAAGCTTGAGCATTCTTTAGACATCCTTATGCTCATTAGACATTCATTGGGTGCCATTTTTAATCCATTTCATGTTAACTGCATGGTTATTATTAGTGTTGATGCTTCAGCTGCTGCCTCTTAAGGGAACTAACAGTTTGGAGCTCTTTGCATTTCCTGCCTGCCTGGATACATCGCATGTTCCATTTTTTTCTTTTTTTACTTAATGGTTTATTTCTAGATGCTTGATTGTTTATTTCTAGAGTCAAAGAGGATATCATGAAGTCCTATGTAGTTCATTTGTTTTACAAAGTAATATTTAAATGCACAAAATTTTGAACCTTTCTAAAAGGAAATTTCTTGATTGTTCATTTTATATATAGCATCAACTGGGCATATTTCTTGATTGGTAGTCAACTAATTGATCTTTTGAGTCCCTAAAATTAAGTTGGTTAGTACATTTTTACTCACTCCATAGCTTGTGCTTTGAACAATTTGCTGCCAGCAACGGTGAGTGTTGGTTGCTAAAGATATATTATAATTGTGTTTCATGTTTTCTGGTATGATAAGAAATGACATGCAGTTTGATTATATGGATGCCTTCCTCTTTGATTATAATCTTTCATCTTGATTGAGAACAACAGATTATGACAAGCCTGCCGCGCGCATCATGTTGTGTTTTGTGACTGATTGAGTGACTGCCACCTGACAATTTGAAGCTGCTCACCCGGCGTGTTTCGTTCACGTCAAAACACATGGTAAGTAATGTATTTTTCTTTTCTTTTTTCTTTGTCCTTTTTCCCTCCTTCCTGTGACATGGGGTACTTTTTGCCCTACGATATGTGTCTCACCATTTGCAAGCGGCAGAAAAAGAGGAGGAGAAACGATAGTGAGAAAATAGCAATAGGGAGAAGGAAAAGGAACCTAACAAGGCCGGAGGAGCACGCATATACAGCGAGCGAGGGGGTAGCCAAAAACAAAACAAAACAAAATTACAGAAGAAAATAAAAAGGGGACACGGAGGTTATTGGTTAGAGTAAGGGGAAGGAAAGTGTACCGAGCAGGACAATAAGCAGGACGAAGGAGGAAAGGGGAAGTGGAAAGGGGAAAGGAGAAGGGGAACGAGAGGAAGAGGAGTCGTCGTCTTCCTGCTGCTGCTGCTGCTGCTGCTGGCTGAGGTGCTGGAATTGGAGGGAGTCGACGGCGAGGGGCATGTCGTCCTGGTCCCGGCTGCATCTGCACTGGGACTCTTCCTCCTCCTGCGCAAGGGGGGCGGCGGCACCGTAGAGAAGTGCACGCAGGACGGCGGATGCGGTGGGGATGAAGGCCGTCCTGTTCCTCGCCAGCAGCCACGTCAGCCCCATCAGCTGGCAGTCGCGGTCGAACATCCTCGTCGCCCGCTCCCCGCTGCCGTTCCCCTTAAGCTTCGCCACCATTAATGATTGCAATCAGTAGGTTTAGTTAGGACTCCGACTCATTGGTGATGATGATTGCATATCAGATGAAGTTTGCATGGGACGGGAAGGTGTCACATTTAAGAAGACCCTGAGGGGTAGAATAAGAGGGCAGACCTTCTCGAGGGAGCGGAGACAGCGCGTGCATCCAGCGTAGGACGCATTCCCGCAGTCGTGCTCCAGCTGCTGCAGTGCCGCCGTGGGGGTGGCGTTCCGGGCCGCCACCCCCACGCCGCTGACGTTGAAGGCGGCCGGGCACCGGAGCGATCCGATCTGGTGGAGTCGGATACCGCAGAAGCAGAGCACGGTGTCGCACGTGGCGTTGGGCCGCGGCAGGCGGATGCCGCGCCGCTCCAGGGCGCTCTGCAACGAGTCCACGCACTTCTGGTTGTCGTCCGGCATCACCGGCCGGTCCGCGCCGTCCATCCCGTCTTCGGCAGCGGGCGGCGGCCGGACCTCGATGGCGGAGCGGGCGTGCGCGGCGAAGAGCCAGGCCGCGAGCACCGGGCAACAGCGGCCTTGGTCGAGGCCACCGCGGACGCAGGCCTCGCCGACCCCGCCGAAGAGCTCGTCGGAGAGGTCGAGGTGGCACGCGCTCTGGTTGTCCGCGCCGGCCACGGGGAACGCCGGGACCGTCGTGGAGGCGACACCGCCGGCATCGGGTGGCTGCTGCTCGTCGGAGTAGATGTGCGACGAGACTCCGGCGGTCAAGGCTGCGGCGGCGGACAGAAGGAAGATAGCGAGCAGCAATGAGACAGCGGGCGGTCTCATTCTGGCTCTTCCTGTTCGACTTCCTATGCTTCTTGTGTGGGAAGCAGGAGAAGAAGATTCTGAGGGGGAGAGAGAGAGAGAGAGAGAGATTCCCACGGCAGAAGGTGGCGTAGAGGAAGAAGGAAGGCATTATAAGTTGGGGGGAGTAGGAGAAGGGAGAGTAAGCGGTGAGGGTAGGGAGGGAAAGGCGTGTAACTTTGGTTCGACACTTTTGTTGCCTCTGTGGGCTTATAGCTCGACTTGGGGAAGAGGAGAGACATGGGTGAAACGGACGTGCATGTGTGACGGAAGAAAGCCCCACCCCACCATATTTTGAGCTGGAACCCTTGTGATGAGGAGAGAGAGAGAGAGATGGATGTGTAGCCAAACCTGCGCTTCTTGCTGTTTTCCTTGGTCGGACGGCCGAGGCCTTAACTTTTCTCTCTTTTCCTTTTGGATTTCCGTTGTCTTTTTCCTCTTCTTTAGTATAGAAGGCAGAGCTGAATGTAGTAGGGTAATGGAACACCGGCAATTGACCTTTCCGTCAACCAGGAAACGGAGGATCTTCTTATAGCTCCTCCACCCTGCCAACATATCGCAAGTTTCAGCAAAAACCGGTGCTTGGGCAGATAATATTGCTTTCGTTGCTACAAAATGTTCCTACCTTGAAACTTTTCTTTTTTCATGACATGATGAACACTTTGCATAGTGACAAAATAAGTTAATTTTTTTCTTAATTAAAAGAATTCTCTGTTGCACTAAAAAAAAATGATATAAATTAGCTTTCCCCAAGGTTGAGGCTCTGAGCCATGCGCATGCCCTACCCAAAGCCTGGATTGGGGGACTTGCGGGAAGGACGGTGAGTGCGGATACAGTGAGTGGCAGGTGAGTAGAGGAAGGCCGAGTACATGGGCGGGCGTAAAGCAACCAGCAGCAGCAGCAGCAGCGTCACGATGGCATCGCAATGCCAACGAGGAGAAATGAATTCATTTCAAAGGCCAATCATCAACTAAATTCAGCTACCAATAATGCTCACGAATAAGGACTGACATTTTCTTCGTACAATCCCATCGTGTTCCTTTTTTTTATTTATTTATTCGAATCTCTTAAATAACATGCTTTTTCCCACTTTATTGTCTATATCGTTAGCTTTGGTCTCGTTTGAATCTAAAGGAATGACTTCTCATATCTTCTCTCGTTGCAGGTTTGTTAAAAGAACATGGCTCCGTTGTGAGATGAGCTTTGGGTCTATACTCTCTCTCTCTCTC